CCCCCCCCCCCGCCCCGAGCAACACAAAGAGTTACGGGGCCCAAATGCCAATAGCACCCACTCAGAGGAAAACTCAGCTATACCCAGCACGGTCTGGCCAGGAGACTGGCTTTCTGGTCTCTAGAAAGAATCTGGCTATATTCAGGACTGTGTGAAAGGGTTAAAGGCATTTTCTATAGCTCTTTGGCTTATCTATCTTTTAGAAAACCTGAATAAGCCTATATCATCTCTATTCTGATGACAAAGGGAAACACTCTTTGTTCATTATTTATTCATATCTCACGCATTCCCAAGTAGAGCATTTGAAGTGTTTTAAAAACAAATGCAATGAAACAAAGTTAAGAATATTAAGAAGTGAAATTTGATGAAATCATCAGGAAGGGAAAATAAAAGCAGAGAAATAAGACAATGTCCATCATTTCTGTATTGTCATTAGAGTTTTTTTTACCGAAAAGGTGGAGGATAATAACGAACCAAGGATGAATAGGCCTTAAATTCTCCCAACCCTCCAAAACAATGCGTCTGCATATCCTAAGCGTTATGTATCTGACTTTGTACTGCAAGGAATCATTGCTAGTATGATCATTATCTCCAGCCCACAGTGTCGAGCCCATTTTTAGATTCAAAAAGGCAGAAACAAAGATTTGTTATTCCCAAGGTCACATCATGAGTTATGAAGAAAAAATAAGTTACCCTTTAGGCTCATGAAAGCAAGATTCATAAGCCGTAAATGCAGAACTGCATGTTTATATCACATTAGTTTGTCTGAAAATCATTATCTTACCTTAGTAGATGGTAATTGTCGCTTTTTGGTCTATGTACCCTCAGTATATCACTACTATATTGAACAGAAAAAAAAAAATTGTATGGTTTTTCCTCATGTGAACAATTTATAAAAATCTCAGAGTAACACACCTGCTGTAAAATTGAAATTTGCTAACTTATAATGAACTTGCTCTTTGCTGGCAATAAACAGGTATAACTAATGCCATGGTCGCCAGGGAGAGAACCAGGCACCTCCAAGCGGTGAGGCACGTTGTTGGTGACTGCGTTGGACATGATTTCATTTTAATATTTAATATTCCAGTGATCTTCCTAATCATTTTGGTTATAATGGTGAATTGTGCCTCTTCACTGGCAATATTATGGTTGGAATTCTGAAACCACACCTAGTAGGAAGAGAAAATTCTCAAGATGGGCAGAGTAGGAAATTCAGAAGGGCTAAGGGTGTGTGTGTCCATGTGTGCATGTTCTATAAGAGCAGATTGAAAAGGAGGAAATTCAGCTAGTTGCCTGGGTGTTTTGCTGGATTACAAACTGCCTGGAGTGCTTTGAAACCAAATGAAAAAGTGTGAACTCAGCATCTTCAATGAAGGTTCCTTTCCCTTCATTGGCTTAGGCTGAAGGAGTCCACGGGAGGAGGGGCCGTGAGGGGCAGCCCATCTTGGAGAGGAAAAGAGCTGAGCAGGACACAGAGCAGACATTGGCTGGAGTCGAGAGCGCCCTGATCTATGTTGAGTGGAAGCAAGTAGCAGAGAGGTTGGAAACCCATTTCTGTTTCCAGGATGACATTATCAGGATTCAGGTGGTCCCGGGAATAGTGTGGATTTCCTGTAGCTGTTTGTCTTCAAAGTCCTTTAGTTTCCTGATTTCTAGATTTGACTGTCTTTCCTCCATTCCAGTTAATTGCTTCTCTCAGCTCGCTGCACTGTCTTACGCTAAGGACGCTGAGGCAAATGGTGCCTTTGGAGGAGTTTCTTACAGTCAGGCACGGGGAACACCATAGATGCTAACGATTTCAACAAATGTGATAAGTGATAAGATAGGGTGTTGAGTGGGCACCAGCTTCGGTTCCAGAAAGCTTCCTGAGAGAGAAGAAATCCAATCATTTCCATTGTAAATCAATTATACTTCAGTTAAAAAATTTTATTTTTATTTGAAAAGTTTAAAACCAAAAAAGAAAATGAAAGAAAGAAAATCCAATCAGGAAAAATCCAATCATTTCCTAAATTGCCACATTAAGCTCTCATTCTGCGATGCTCCCTCATACTCAGAGGTCCCCATCTTTTTATAAGCCATCACCTAAAAAAACCCTGCATTTATTAAGGAAGAATCTATTTTTCCCATTGTCACCAATTGAAGACATATCCGTCATCCTAAACCTCTGTTTTCCATGAAGTATTCAATATGAATACTGTGTTACTAAAATTGCAACGAAGAATGTGTCATTTATCCTATGTCCATGTACAGCTTCCTTTTTTTTTTTTTTTTTTTTCCTGAGAGATTGAAAAAAATCCACAGAACCTCCAAGGCCACCTTTGTGAAGCCCTGAGTGACCCTTGGAAGTATCCAACGTCAAGATAGTCACCCAGGAGGATTCGCTACGGATGCTCTTACATTTCCTTTTACTGATTTGGTTTTTCCCTCCACGTCCTGATATTTTCTGAAATTTCTCCCAGCAAGTAAAGAATGTAGGTTATGAAGAGCCCTATCTCCTCTTTCTCACATAGCTAAATAGAAAGTTATTGGGACATTAATTCATGATCACTCCTGGTGGCGGGGGGAAGGCTCTACTTGGACCAGGGATCACAGGAATGAGAGGAAAGCCCTAGACTGGGCCAACCAACCCCTTAGTGATTGCCAGCATTAACTGAGTGAGAATGGGTGATGAGTTAGAAAGCTAATGTCTCTGCAGACTATAAGATGGTTACAATCCTATAAAGACACAGACTATGGGGCAGATGAGATTGTCTCCTGCTTTTCTATCTCATACTGCCCTGGGTAGCTGACTTAATCTCTGCAGGCACAGTTGCCTTAGCAGGTGAGTGAAGACTACACCTGCCTCCGTGGGGTTGATAGAGGATGAAATAGGGAGATGCAGGTAAGGTTACAACGTAATCAGTTCCATCATATGGCACTTGTTAAGGGAACTGTAGCTACTGTTGTTGCTGTTGATGTGGTTATTGACTTTTTATTAGTTGCTCATACCCTCCTCTTTCTCAAGGGTCCCCTTTGGCTTATGTTGAGTACCCATATCTTTCCTTCCATGAGTCACGTACCCATTGGCTGGGGGACTCCTACAGTTCACAGACCTCCATTCCCCATACGCCACAGAGATGGCTTTGGACAGAGACACTTCAGTGGTTTATGGAATCTGTAGATTGGAAATAAAGTATTAACTAGTGAACAGTCTCGGGGAGAGCTAAATGGACCAAGTCGTCCATATTTCTCCTTGCATTTGCTCCTGGAGTCTGTTTAGATAAATGGCTACCATGTCCAGTCTGTCTTCCTAGGACTCACATTTGGGAGAAATTACCCATTGGGTAGTTGTCATCCAAGGGAGCTGGCAGGCTGATGATGTGTGGATGAAGACAGAAGGTAGAAGCGTCAGACACATACACCAGACTCAGTGCAACGTCGGATGTTACAGGACAGCAACTAAACCTCAATCCTCTCCCCACAAAACCCTATGAGATTGGCCTCACCAAGTTCTTGTTCTTAATTAGTTAATTAATTAATTAACAGCACCTTATCAAGTGCCTACTATGTACCAATCATATTGTATGGGGCTAGGGATGTAGAGAACCATAGGAGATTTTTAAAATTATTATTATTATTCTAAGTTAAGCACCCAGCATTTGCTATAGGGTTTTTATCTTGGCTCTCTGGATATTTTTGAGCAAGACATTTTGTACTTTCTCAAGTCATTAATTATGTCACATGTATGTACAGCTTCTCAGAGTTACCATGAGAAGTATTTTGAGCTGAATATGCTACTCTAAGTGCAAGAAAGATATGGTGGTATCCCAGGAAAAAACTTCTTACAGTTGGTCAGTGCAAGAATGAAGCCCATACACAGAGCCTTTGGGAGTGCTTTCAGGTTAGGTCCTGAAGAAGCCTTTAGAACAGTGTGTGCAAACCTTTCTTTCTGTAAATCAACCATGTTTTTTGGTTTGAATTTATAAATGTCTTATCCTCAGATTGATCTGATGCTTGGGAAGTTTCTCGATGAACATAAACATTAGGT